TTCCTGGTACATTGAGGAAATGGAAACTATTTCTGTATAGCATATTGGTTCTATTTAAAAGCGGGGATAAAATAAGTTACAACTAAATTAGGGGCACACTACTTGAGTTGTTGTAGATAAAATAAATTACGACTAAAGGTAAAGTTGAAGGTTTTGTCAAGACGGTATGGTATGACATTGAGAGATACATTTTATTTTGCACGAAAAAATGCTTATTAGACTGTAAAGCACAAACGTAGAGAGCATACCTGAGACATGATCAGTCTGAGCAAAGCACTAATGCATATGTGACTAATATCATTCACGCAGCTGTCATTCATTAGGTAGAGATCATGTGGACCATCGTACGACTATTACCTGAAAGGGGAAAAAGTGTCACTAAAGTATTGAGTGTTGGATCTCCTCTCATTTTAACCATAGAGCACAAATTCAGGGTCACAGCTGTATATGGTAAAGCAAGAATGCCGAAAAAAATTCAGCTGAACATATTTCAGAGAGACAGTGAGAATTGCAGGCTGTAAAAACTCACATCATTCCGTAAGCTTGAATGGGGTAGGATTGTTGATTTCTCTGAGTTTTCCTTGCTGCTCTGGTTCTGCATTTACGTACCTGAATTTGGAAAAGAACATGTTGGTTAGTTAGTACCTACGTACAGACAGGAACTCCTTTTTTTAGCACTGGCCATCACTCTTGATTCGAAGCCCTTCGGCTGATCACTACAACAGAGTCTTGTAGGATGAGGTGGTCCGGGCATAGCCCAAATCTGCATATGTAACACACAGTAGAGGTAGAAGAAAATGACAACAAAAAAAGCTCTAGGAGGGGGAGGGAGGAGGAGAGGAAGAGGAACTGGCCGTAGGCGCCCCGGGTAGAGGAAGAGGCGATGACCCGTCGCCATCCGGTCCATCCGCCGGCAAGGCCGGCAGCGAATTAGATCCTGCAGCAGCCAGCAGGGGGGGGAGAGGCGGCGTGCCGACCAGATGCGGCAGCAGGTCCGGCCACTGAGCAGATACTCTACCAGGCCACCCGCGCGTCGCAAGACAGAGCTGGAGAGGGTGAGGGGCGGGCTGGCTGCACCGGCGGCCTCACGGCTACCAGCTACGGCGTCGCGACCACGGAGAGGGGGCAGTCGTGCCGGGAGGCAGCCACCAGTAGGGCCCCCGCCGGGGGGCTGCGCCGCGCAGCCATGGCGACGCCGGGCCGGCCGTGCGCCACGCGCGTGGGTGGCAGCGCTCTGGGCCTCCTGCAGGGCCACCACGTCGGGAGAGAGGGAAAGAGGGAGAGCGGGGACGCGCGCGGCGCAGAGACTGCGACGGGGCCTGCGCAGAGTCGTGGTGCGTGGCAGCGCGGCCGCGCCGCGCGACGAACGAAGGGCGCAGCTGCGGCGATAACCGGAGGGCGCAGCTGCGGACGTGGTCCGGTGGGGGCACGCCGCAGGCGGCGGAGGATGCAGGAGCGATGGATTTTGACGGTGCCGTCGCCACTCTTTTTTTTTATCTGGAAACCGCTGTGCTGTGACCGCGTTTGAGGCAGGGAATAGGCTGGGTGGTGGGGCCCGTGGAGATGTGGAGCGTTCGGGAGGCTGGGCTGCGCGGCGGTCATCCGGTAGGATCAGACAGAAAGTAGCTGTAGATGAACAGGAATGTGTGAGGAGGAACGGAGGGAACTGTTCATAGCATCACCGTTTAAAGAAGTTTAATTAGTAATCCGACGTGACCCGCCTCAAACTTATATTATAGATTATAGATTATAGATGCCTGGAAGAATCATCATCTGCAAATTGCGAGCTGTACTCGCTTCACTGGCCGCTCGTCGGTCCTCGGTCGTCGCCCACCCTTCTCGTCCTACAGGAACGAATGAACAGGAATAAGGCCGTACAGAGGACTGGGATGGGTGTGATGGAGTCAAGTCAACCTCCCATCCTCCCTACAAATGATCATTAAGGCATTAATTAACAAATGTAATTCACCATGTACTTATGCATCTATTCTAAAATCCCTATCTTTTCCAATCTCTTCTTTAGCCATCCAACAATAATCCTCACAAAATTCATGTGCTCTCTGCTCCTATGTTTTTTTTTTGTGAATTCTCTACTCCTATGTTTTAGCCGCCATTGCACACAAAACAATCTGATGACATATCTCCATTGTTTTGCATTCTATTTGCATTATGATATCCCTAAAGCAATATGATTATCTATACTAGTCCATCAACTCACACTAGCTACTGTCAAGTCTAGGTTTCCGGGGGTGCATAAGTGTTAGAAGTCTAAGGATAAATTTGGAATCTATATGTTTTTTTTTAAAGAAAAGGCAGGAGCTCTGTCGCTAAATTAAGTATAGAAAAGATAGTGTTTTATGTACACATGGCATCCATTAGGCCAATCACACCGGACCTAGGACCAAAGTAGATACACCTCTTCTACGGTCAGTATTTTCACCCCGCAAAGGAAAAAGCCCCGCGCCTTTGCACAATATCCTCTTTGATCAAGGAGGCAACCTGCTGTGCCGTCTTGAACTCGCTCTAAAAAATCCTCCTATCCCTCTTCTTCCACAAGTTCCACACAATATATATTAGTACTCCATTGAAATGTCTGTGTTCCAGTTTTGGGATCTTGCTTGCTTCATCTTCCCACCATTTGGCAATGTAGGCGGGTACTGCTGCGGCAGCTGCACCATGAGATTTTTCCAAGATAACACTTGGCCCCAAACGGCCTTTGCAAAGGGTCAAAGCAAAGAGAGATGAAGCCCTGTCCCCAAAGGTCCTTTACACAAAACACAATGTTCGGCCATCTCCTCTTTTGCAGGTTGTCCGCCGTTAGGACTTTGTTGTGCATTAGGATCAAGCGTGCAGTTTGCATTTGTTTTCTACTTGCGCCTTTCAGATGAGTTCGTGCTTGAATTTTCGATGGGATCCTTTGAATTGAATCAAGTATGCCGAACGTGTGGAGTAAACTCCACCGGCTGTTCACTTCCAAGTGATTGTGTCCTACACGTCAGGATGCAGCTGCACCCCTTGCATTCTGATCCAAAATTGCTTCTCTTTGTTCTCCGTCTGTTCATTTTACAACATAATCCTGACATAAATACTCTATGATAATCACTATCCGGCTATGATGCCAATTATTCTAAATATGCATAGCTAGTTAATTTCCTCGTTTGCATTGCACATCCATACGAGAGTAGAGACAGAAAGGAGTCGAAGCGGCCGAGCCCCCAATATTAGAAGGCTCCATATGTGTACACAATTTTTTTTTTCATTATGTCCAAGAAAAAAACAAAAGTTAACTCATGATAATTTATCCCTCCTTGTAGATATGGTTTGACTTTGCTCTAGCTTTGAATATGTCTTTAATATATGCGGACACCTTACTTTAAGCTATGTCAGCTTTTGTTGCAACCATGTATATATCATGACTTCGTGATTCTAGATTTTGGCTTTCCAATTTTACATGTTTTAAGTTCCTGTATTTTTTACTGTTTTATAGTTGCCGGTTGTGTAGGAAGCTAGGCAAGCTGATTCTTGAGGCCTAATCTATGCTTGCCAGATTTATGTCAAAATAAACAGACATTGAAACAATTATTTACAATGACCACCACCCCGCGTGCTGGTGTGCCCCATCCATGTAACCTACAGGTTTGATGTAAATGCAACCAATAAACAACGAAAATTAGGCAAACCTCAAGTGAACTTTGCACAGGTAAAATTTGGAACAAAAGTCACATTTAATTTATCTGTATATTTTGACTCGGTAAATGAGTTCTTCCCGGGCCCGGTAAAATTAAGATTATCTAGCTTAGCAGTGGTAGCCACTCAGCAGCCAGTAAAGTGAATTATGGTATCTGGCTTTGTATTTTAAAGTTTGATGAGTAAACATACTCATATATTTATTACTTGGACCCATCTTTACAGCTAGTTTATTTCCATTTGCTTTGTACTATAATTCTTCATGTTCGCATTTTCAGCCGAGGACAATGGATGGAGGAGGGCTAATAGACATGTGGAAGAAATGGGAGATCCAAGTACTGGTGCTCCATAGCTTCACACTGCAACTTATCCTCCTGGGCTTCGCAAGGATCCGCCGGCGCAAAGGCTTTGCTCTTCTGAGGATCCTCCTCTGGTTGGCCTACCTCATGGCTGACTCCACAGCTATCTACACTCTTGGCCACCCCTCCCTCCGTGCCAGATCAAGCGAGAAGCAGCTCGTCGCGTTCTGGGCGCCCTTGCTGCTCCTGCACCTCGGTGGCCCGGACACCATCACAGCCTACGCCTTCGAGGACAACCAGCTCTGGCTACGCCACCTGCTAAACCTCAGAGTGCAGGTCATGGGGGCAGCCTACGTCCTGTACCAGTCTGTTGCTAGCCAGAGGACCTTGGTCACTCCCTCCCTGCTGATGTTCGTTACTGGCCTTCTCAAGTATGGGGAGAGGACATGGGCGCTGGAACGTGCTAACATAGACAGCATCAGAGGCACTCTTTATCTGCAGGATGACAGCGACCGGCGCCAGCCGTATGATGGACGGGTTGGAACAACGGAGCTGGATTCGGAGGAGGTTCTGCTGGGTGCTCACAATATGTTCAATGCCTGCAAGAGCCTCTTCACCGACGATCTGATCACGTCGGGAGCAGAACTCGAAGCTATTAACAATGGCATACAGTTTTAATGGCGGCAAGTACATGTACGAGCTGATTGAGATGCAGCTGTCCTTGATGTACGACATCCTGTACACCAAGGCAGCGGTCATCTACACATCACACATGGTATGGCATGTGCATCCGTCTGATCTCACCGGCAGCCACTTTGGCCTCGTTCTTGCTGTTCCAGCTGAACAGCAGCAGCAGCAGCAGCCATGGTGGTTACACTTACAGCAGAGTCGATGTCATCGTCACTTACATTCTCCTGGCCGGGGCCTTTGTCCTCGAGATCACGTCGATGGTCAGGGTACTAGGGTCTTCCTGGGCATGCGCCTTCTTGCACGCTCGGAGATGGGACCGGATCCATGGCGCCGTCCGGTGCCTTCGCCGGCTTGTGTCTGGAGTCGGTTGGGCAGTACAACCTGCTGGATTTCTGCACCCGTGACAGGACCGAGCTAAGAAGCAGGGTCGCCAAGAAAGTGGGGCTGGAGAAGTGGTGGGACAAGCTCCATTACTCGAGCACCGTCAGCATTTCGGACAGCTTCAGGGACCTCCTGCTGGAAGAGATACCAAGAAGGCAGCTAGGGGACATGAGGGACGCACGGGGCCGGTGGACGCTTCAGCAAATAACTTACCCGCCGGGGGCAAGCGGTAGTCGCAGATTATACGATGAGATCAGCTTGAGCGTTAACGACACCGACTTCGACCAGAGCATCCTCATCTGGCATGTCGCCACCGACGTGTACCTCTGCTGCCGCCGCCAGCCTGAGCCAGCGGCGGAGGATCACCATCGCCTAGCCAAAGCCGTCAAGGAGCTCTCCGACCTACATGCTCTTCCTCTTCGTCGTCCAGCCCCACATGCATGCTTCCGGGCCCGGTTCGGAACAGCCGGTATGACAACAACTGTGACGGTTTGGTCACGCTCTGGCAACAACACTCAGCTGACAAGGACGGCATGGACCCGACGCTGACACCAAGGGAAGCTTTACCGTGAGTACAGAGACAGATCGGACGACGACGACGACCGTGCTAGTCCAGCAGCATCCTTTTCCGTTCAGATGATGGAAGAGGAAGATAAGAACCCCCACGGTCTCGCTTACATCGACGCCGCTGGGCTCACCGGGTTGCTCCTTAGCGAGCGCTCAGGTATACCTGACGTGCTGGAAATGATCGCCGGAGTGTGGATCGAGATGCTGTGGTACGCCGCACGCCACTGCACCGAGGTTTCCCACGCCAAGCAGCTGAGCAGCGGTGGCGAACTGGTGACTGCAATAGGGATGCTGGTGGAGTACACCGCTAGGTATGACCTGCACCCTCATGGTCATGGATCAGAGGATGGTCATCCACTGTCGGGGACATCTATGGAGAATGGAGAACCTAGCGGAGCGGCGGCTGAGGTGTCTCTAGATCAAAGAACCGAGAAAGGTCTAAACAGTGGCCTCAATCAAGGCAAGGGCGGAGGAATGATCAACACACGGAGTATTGGGTGGGCCCAATCAAAGCAGGGCCGAGTGGAACCAACATGGGCCCAATCACTGAAGCCTAAACTACTACGGACTGGGGCGGAGCCGCGGAGGGCTTTACTCACCATACCTTGCATTTGCAGGAATACCTCTACTGTTTAATTTTCTAGGCTCTGATTCATTGGTTGGCTGGACAGCGAACGCCACGACTGCTCCGTAGATGCGATTTGAGAAGAGGAGGCATGAAGTGGACTTGTTGGTGGACTGTTATTGTCCTTTGGACTGCTAAGACTTTTTTGAGACACTCATTTTGTTTGCTTAATGGGCAGACAGCGAGCGTTTAGCTCATGGCAGCTCTTCCCAGTCCGTCAAATAGCCATATGCCATTCTGCAATGATCAAGATTCAAGAGCACTGCACGTTGTAGCTTCTTTCCATCCTTATTTTCTCCATTTGATAATATCATTTGTCTCTCTAAATTAAACTTTAACGGAACGGCTCTGTCAATAAAGAAGCTCAGTTTCAAGATAGATCATACATTGCTTCGTTCTGTATCCTCAACAAAAGCATTGCGTGTACAAGATAAAAATGTTCAAAGAGACGGCAAAAGCACACAAAGGCACAAATCAATCTCTGCTTACACTACCGGATACAGGAGCTTTGCCGAGTGCCAGGGGCACTCGGCGAAGCCCAAAAAACACTCGGCAAACCGTTTGCCGAGTGTTACACTCAGCAAACGACACTCAGCAAACGGTTTATCGGCAAACACTGTTTTGCCGAGTGTTTTTTGTCGGGCACTCGGCGAAGACTCTGCCGAGTGCAAAAAAAACATTCAGGCAAACATTTTTTGAAAAAAAACAAGCACCAGCCACCGGGCGCCACCATCACCTCCTGTTTCGCCGCCACCTCCCCACGGTCCCGCCGTCCTGCCGCTCCCCGTGCCGGATCCCGCCGTTGTCGAAGCCACCGAGCCAGATCCGCGCCCCCACCGAGCGAGGGAGGGAGTCTGGGCCCGCGCCACCGTGCTGAGCGACGGCGTGGCCGCCTTCCCTGCCCTGGAGGAGGGGCGGGGGCGGCGGATTTGGAGGAGGGGCCGCGGCGGCGGATTTGGAGAGAGGGAGGAGAGGCTGGGGCGGCAGATTTGGAGGAGGGGTTGCGGCGGCGGATTTGGAGAGAGGGAGGAGGGGCCGCGGAGCGTGGCGGCGGATTTGGAGAGGAGAGAGGGAGGAGGGGGCTGGGCGCAGATGAGAGAGGGAGGAGGGGCCGGGCGTACGCGGCGGCGGATTTGGAGATGAGAGAGGGAGGAGGGGCCGAGCGCGCGGACCGAGGCGGGCTTTTTTTTCATTTGTCGAGTGTTTCAGATCTAACACTTGGCAAAGCTTTTGTTTTTCTTTCTTTTTTCTAGAAAAACTATTTTATTTCTTTGACGAATGTTTTTTTTAACACTCGGCAAATCCTCTATTTGCCGAGTGTTTTTTTTTGACACTCGGCAAACCCCCTCTTTGCCGAGTATTTTTTTTTTGCCGAGTGTTTTTAAAGTAGTACTCGACAAAGAACTTGTTCGCCGAGTGCCCGAGAAAATACACTTGGCAAACATAAAAACATTCAGTAAATTTGAGGATTCCGGTAGCGTTACTTATTATTCTCTTCTTCCGTGAACATATTGACAGTGTAGAAATAGAAATTTATGTAGGGTTGAATATACCAAAAGAAATTTTCACAGATAAATTTAGTTACTTTGTTTTCATGTGATCAAGTAAAATTGTTTTTTTTCTTTCAAGACACTGGTCAAAAGTTTTGTCATAAAGAATGTTAGAGGGTCTGTTTTCAGTACATGTATTTATGAGGAGGACGGCTACATATAAGAGCACATCTCTACCCAATCTCTTATACTCTCCCTATACCTTTAAATAGGAAATGTAGCAGTTACAGTAAATCTCCTATCACATGTATTATCCCTATATTCTTTAGGAGGTCTTCTAAATCTATCACCATCTCTCATAAAAGAAAGGGGATATCTATCTCTTAAATCCTGCTGGAGTAAAGGTCTCATATCCTAATATTGCTTATGAGAGATCTCGTATACCTGATTATAGGGATGAAGAAATCAGAGATCTGGTAGAAATACTCTAAAGCCATTATGCCACTTGTCATGGTGTTGACGACGTGATTGATTCTGTCCTATCTTAATTTTATTTCGTCCTTGGTCACTGGCTACTGAACTTGTGTAGACTTCTCATTTGAACCATTTCTTTCCACCAACACACACATATAGAGAATCTTCACGATAATGCATGCATTGCGCGAGTCGGCAGTAGTAGACATGTTCTGTTAACCATTTCTTTTTCGCCAACACACACATATGGAGAAGCTCGACGATAATCCATTGCATTGCACGGGATGATGTGTCCTGGGCTCTGGGCTCCTGGCGTCAGCCACAACCCCACGTCCCCACAGCTCTGTCCTGTGCTGACAGTAGCAGGCCGAGAAACATGGCGCGCTGCGGCTGACTGGCTGCTGTGCTACGCTGTGGCAGGAGGAAATGGAACTGGAAGGAGCGGATGCGATATGTCCATGTCCATGTCCATGTCCATGGATGGGAGTCGTCGATCTTTCTCGTGACTGCCTACATGTCCTACTCCATCTGAAACACAAGCAGCCTGTTCGGGAGGCCGTATCGTATCGTGGATTATTTACTGCTGACTGGTTTGGTGTGAGAGAAAAATACTGTTCCCGACTAGAAATTTACGATCGTTTACGAGCAAGCGAACGGGCTGGGGACGCTGCCCTTCGGTACATGGGCACAAGGCTAGGCTAGGGTCTGCGTTTGAATCGTTTAGTCAACACTAGTCATTATTAGAACTAGAGTTCAGTCTTGTGCTATTTATATTCTCTTCATTATAAATTCTCAATTATTTTAGTTTGTTTAGGTACTGTCGGTGTTTCGGACCGGGGTCCTCAACCGACTAGTGAATTTGTTCTGCGCGCTCCCGATTCCGGATGGTGATGCAAAGAGACACAAGGTTTATACTGGTTCGGGCAATCGAGGCCCTACGTCCAGTCTGAGAGATCGATCTTGTATTCCTTGCACCGAGGTGCTCGTAGTAGGGGGTTACAAGCTAAAGGAGAGAGGGAGCTGGTCCCAGGTCTCGGCAGGGCGTCGTGCGGGCCGCTTGAGACGTTGCTCTCAGACGGCAGGGATGTGTGTATATGTGTGTGTGTTACCAGGTTTTTTCCCCCGCCCCCCTAAGTGGCCCAAGTCCTCTCCTTTTATAGTTGAAGGGAGGACAAGGACCGTACATGTATTACTATGCGGCGTCGTGCCAATAGGGGTTTTTACAACTAATTCGTCAGAGCCTGCTAGGGACTTGGCGTAGGATTTTTTGCGAAAAACAACTAGAGAATGGCGCATGGGGCCTAGGGGATGCCTAGGGAGGGGTCCCCTATCTAGCCCCCGAGGGAGGCTTGGTTCTTTAGAGCGTAACCGAGTTTCTTGTCGTGTTATCTTGCCGAGGCCTACGATGGGCTCGGGGGGTTTCTCAAAAAATTAGACCAACTAAAGAATGCTTTTTAATTGTATTTCGAGGAACGACATATACAATGCTTGGAAATTTAGGGATAAAAGTGACGTAGCTGTTTTATGTTCCAAGCGTTGGTGAAGACTTCGCCCTTCTCGTTGGCCACGGAGGTGTAGCGACGGCGCGTGGAGGTGTAGGCGACGCTCTACCTGCCCTCGTCGTCTTCTTTGCCCGCTCTCATCATCCCGACCCCACAAGAAAACATTCATGAGTGGGTCGAGGTGTCTTCGTCGTCGAGTCGGAGTAGCCAAGCGATAGTCGCTGCTACCAAGAATGGCGCAAAGCCCTGTGGTTGTGGAGTCGAAAAAAATCCACCCCGGGCCGTGTCTCGTCCTCGTCCCGAGGAGTCGGAGTGGGTGCTCAGTCGAGTGACGCGGCGGCGTTCCGAGGGGTGCTCGTGAGCGGCAGAGTGGCGTAAGCGAGGCGACGGCGATTCTCTCCAGATTCTCGCCAGAGTCGGCTCTTTAGGGAGTGGTGGAGCGGAGCTTGACGACCAGGCATCGCCGCGTGCCACAGTAAGTTTCCTTTGTCCAAGCTCAGGCTAGATGGGTCCCCACCCGGGGACCCTGTGCCAACAATGATGGTCGAGGATATCGGCGGGGGTGGCGTGTCGCCCGGATTCACGTCGAGGTGGCCCTTGTTCGTGCCGTGCTTGCAAGCGCGGCGAGAGCGGCCCCGGACGCCGCCCCACGCTCAGCCAACACATTGGTTGGTGGGGCTCGAGGAGTGAGGAGCACCAAGTCGTACTCATGCCCTAGAGACATGAACTCTAGGCTCCCGAACCAAACCACGGTGCCGAGACGCAATGGTCGTGATGCGTGGTCCGCCATCCGAACTGATGATTTAAACGCGACACGCAGTACTGGCGCGCCAGTCGTCGTGTGTTTGGACGGGGGTCCTCAACCGACTAGTGAATTTGTTCTGCGTGCTCCCGATTCCGATGGTGATGCAAAGAGACACAAGGTTTATCTTTTTCGCAATCGAGGCCCCACGTCACATCTTGTATTCCTTGAACCGAGGTGCTCGTAGTAGGGGTTACAAGCTAAAGGAGAGAGGAGCTGGTCCCAAGTCTCGGCGTGGTCGTCGGGGGCGCTTGAGACGTTGCTCTCGGTGCACGGATGTGTGTGTGTGTGTGTGTGTGTGTTACCGTGTTTTTTCCCCGCCCCTAAGTGGCCCAAGTCCTCTCCTTTTATAGTTGAAGGGAGGACAAGGACCGTACATGTATTACTATGCGTCGTCAGGCCAATAGGGGTGGCACGTCCGAGCCCTCGTGGCCTGTCCCTGTGGTGGCGTGGTCGTCAGAGTGGTCCATCCTTGAGTATTGGGCGGCGTGGTCGTCCCATCGATCCTGTCGCGTCGTGGGAGCCCCGGAATGCCTCGAGTGGACGCGCGCGGGCGAATGTGCGAGCCACTATGGACGGACTGTGTCTGCTGCCGAGACTTGGTCGGTGCTTGGAGGCCGGCATCATGGTGGGGGGTCTCGCAGCACGAACCCCAAGATCGCCGAGGCCCGGTGGAAGTGGAGGCCTTGAGCGGCGGCCAATCATGGGTGTCCACGAAGTGGTCGGTAATCCCGTGTCCATGTCCCGGCCGGTATGGCGTGATCAGTGACACAAGTGGTAGGACACAAGATGGCGGTAATCCCGGCGTGCCTGTCCCTACCGGTATGGCGCCGATCGTGGACATAGTGGTAGGGCACGGATGGCGTAATCCCGTCGTGCTCTGTCCGGCGGTATGAGCGCTATGCGACCTCGAATCGCGTCGGCCATCCTGTGGCGTTGAGCCACCGTCCGGCTGAGATTGCGGGAGTGGTTGGAGCATTAATGAGACATGACGAGTTGTCGGGAAGGTCGGCCGAGGCGGGGGCGGACGGACATGGACGGCACACGGAGAATGAGGCCTCACATAGACGGAGATCGTGTTCTTGTCGAGGCCTTGCGCGAGGCGCCTTGCGTGATCTAGAATGTACCCTGCCGAGGCCTTCCCCAGAGAGCCTCGGGCGATTAGACGGCGCCCCTGCCGAGGCCTACCTGGGAGCCTCAAGGCGAGAGTTTGTTCCAAGACCTCCTGTGGCTCGAGGCGAGGTGGAGGAGGGCTCGGTCGTGGCAGGTGAGGGGCCCACGGCTTACCTTCTAGCTTTATTTTGATGTTTGCTTGGGGTACTCCGTTCTAAGGTACCCGACAGGTACATACTAGTATATTTTGCTACGTGTCTAAATACCTATTATATCTAGATATATAGCCAAAAGTATGTATCTGAAAAAGTTAAAACGGTTTATAATTTAAAACATTGATAGTAGTATTTTTGGACAAAGACCGAGGTGCCCTTGTTTTGATGAAGAAAGAAAGAGGAAGGTAGCGGAACATTGACGTAGCGTAATTCGATATTCTGTGTCACCTTTTAATCTGAATTCATTTGGTTTGACTAACTAGTACTTCACCTCTTACTCTTAGTCTACTCGTTTAGATAGTGACCTATATATACCTAAAGTTTATTCCATGGTTTGGTACCCTTATAAGGGTGTGTTTAATTTTTCAGTCGCTCCTAAAATTTATATCACATCGAATGTGTAGATACTAATAAGAAGCATTAAATATAGATTAATTATAAAACTAATTACATAGATGGAGGCTAATTTGCGAGACGAATTTTTTAAGCCTAATTAATCCGTCATTAACATATATTTACTGTAGCACCGCGTTGTCAAATCATGAACTAATTAAGCTTAAAAAATTCGTCTCGTAAATTAGTCGCAAGTTGTGTAATTAATTTCGTAATTAGTCTATATTTAATATTCCATATATGTGTCTAAATATTCGATGTGATAGAAATTCTAGAGCTCCTTGTAAAAACCAAACAAACCCTAACATGCCCTATCTCCCCAGACATCGAGATTTCGTCATATCTTGTTCTCTCTCCCGCCGCTATTTGATCATACGTTACCAAATAAGTGTACTTCTAGTATTTTAAATGTGTCCCATAATAAGTGTACGTTTAGATCGTGGACCACTAGTAGGTTTCGCTATTTTTTTTCATTTTCGAAATACAATATATAATTGATCTCTACACCATATTTTAGAAGTGTACTTATGTTGGGACAAAGAGTGTAAGCCTTTCATCAGTGCAACAAATCGATCTTAAGGAACTAGAGCTAACGACAGACTCAAACCCTAAAACCATGAGGTTAGGGGCAGAGACAAGGCGGGGCGGGGCAGGGCCCAGGCCCCTCTATGAATGTGAATTTTTCATTAAAATTTTTAAAATTCAAATAAATTTTAAAAATTGAACATTGTTGGCCCCTCCTAACATTAAAAATCCACTTTCTAGCTCCACCCCTACATGAGGGTGTTTCTACAGACTAATACACTGTAGCAAGAAGTTATATCCTCCAACCTCTACTTTCTTTGCATGGAAGAGCTTTAGATTTTTACCGGCCGTTTTCTCAAACATATCCACTTCTTTCTTTCTTTCCCAACTTGCCTCTCCAGAGACCACAGGATCCGGCCGGAGCACGTGCGGCAGGCGGGCAGCGCAACGGGGCCACAGGCATGGCTGCGGGCGGCAGCAGCGCGCTGCACCGGGGTCGGGCACTTGCATGGGGCCATGGGGCAGGCGGCATATATTAGAGATACCAAGGCACACCGTCTAGGCGGTCTTCTAGGGTGTCCATATATGTTCTATTTAGTTGGTGCGTTAGATAGAAATTTCACGACTCGGATAAAGCGTGTCACAATCTAGTTTTCTTCCGTGCATTCGGCAGTGGATAGATGAAGCAAGTGGACGCATTCAATGAAGTAGATGAAAAATTGAATGACCATGCATGCAAGGACAATATAAACTGTAGGTATACTTTGCATGCAAAAAGTTACTATAGTAGGGGGATTTACATCAATGTACTTTCACGTGTCCTTTACATAAAAAAAATTACTATGATAGGAGGAATTTACATCACATGTGCCTTCTCCCTTTACATTAATGAATTTACTATCAATAGATACTAGCCAGTAAATTTCCATGCATGCACGAGTGTCTCCTTAAGCTATCCAGAAATCCACTCAGTAAATTTGAAAGCACTCGATATCTTCACCTATGCAGGGTGGGTTGAAAGTAGGTGGACACATTTAATGCCTCCCCTCCATGCTACCATCAGATAAAAAAAAAGTCGGACGGGTGGACATATTTAATGCCTCTCCTCCTTACCATCAGATAAAAACAATTCACCGACCATGCAAGAACATTTGTACTTACACATGCATCCATGCATCTAAGAGACGGATTAGGTTGTGTGCACGTTGCTACCGAGGTGGTCGGTGGTTGGGGTTGGTCGCCATTAATACGCCTACCATACTTGCATCTGCACCCATGCATGCAGAGGCGCTCGTTCCTCCTCCAACTCTTGCCTATATAAGCATGTGCCACCCCCACCCCTCCCAGTGTCTCCATGTGTCCTCCTTGTAGTTCATATACGAGGAATCAGTAGCTATGGCCTCAGGGGCACCCGCAGCGGTGAGTCGACCCATCTCAGATAAAGACAGCCACGTCAACTGAGCCCATTAGTCGACTTCTGGCCCAACAATACCACAGGTCCCCACGGCAAATTAAAAAACGATAAACAACGTGACATTTGTTTCTTCCATCGTACTGCTTTCTTCCACCTTCGGCGGTTCTGAATGCTGAAGTGTCGCCGCATGCCTGGTTCAGACGAAGGTTCATCCAAGCCGCGCGATCTCAACTGCTCACCCGTTGTTGCAGTTCGCGTACGTTGCTGCTGTTAGGGCGGCGTACAAAACGGTGGCCACCGCCGCGCAGATGGCCGGGCTCCCTCTGTGTGGAGACGATGCAAACTGCCGCCGCCGCCGTTCAACTCATTGGCTATCGCCGACGCCGCCATTTGACTCGTCGCCTGCCGCCGCCGCCTAAGTCGCTCACCCCCGCTCGACTTGGCTCCGGCGCCGCCGCTCCGTCTCCACTCTTTGCTCTTACAGGTGGGCCGAATTCTTTGTTTATTGGGAGGAGTCAACATTGAAACGTTAGTCGATTTTTCTCTCTCTTCTGCGTGAGTCGTATAGTCCAGTCGGTCGATTTTTCCGGCCTCCACGTTGGATGATGAGTCGCTTTTCTATCCCCACTGGAGAAGCCCTCATTGTACTTCATCCCTGTAGTAGTTTATGTGTACATTGGCTATGTGTAAGCTCGCATATGTACCCGTCATTGTTTGCCACCTTCAGATATATACATGTGGTGCGCGTGTTTGTGATGACATGTATTCCATATTGAATGAGAAGGAGCGTCTCCTAATCAAACTCTATTACCGTGTTAACAAGCAACTTGGTCACAGAACGCTTGAAGCCTAAGCATCATTAGCATAATTCTGGGCAAGCACACTTGCCTATGGCGACAAGGACTAGCACACCCGCTGGCACCCGCTGGCAGTACTCTAAAAAATTCACGTGTAGCTAGGGACATTCTATAAGTGCATTAACTTACCTGTCTTGTCATGTGTCATGTAACCAAAGATATACTAATACATACAAAGTCTACAGTGTTTCAGCTAGCTGGTAGACTATTCTAATGTCCATGGACTACTTTTTTGCAACATTGTGGTTGCTCTTAGATTATGTTTTCGATGGTGTTTCAATGACACGACTAAGTAAACAATAGCCTGCTCACAACATAAGAGCAGGACAACCACGGGGCATATATAATGTGTCTGCTGGTTGTGCTTGGCAAGATAAGCCTCGGTAGACATGTGAAGTTGTAGGAGGAGCGGGCGTCTCTGCGCGTGTGAAAAATCTCTGCATGTAAAGGAGAGGCATTAAATGTGCCCACCTGTTTTCGACCTACTTCACGCGTGTGAAAAATCTCTGCATGTAAAGGATGGCATTGAATGTGACCATCTTCTTTCGACCTTCTCCGAACATAAAAAAATATATTGCCATGCAGGGTGTAAAGTAAGTACTGTTAGTTTAGTTACAGAATATATGTCTCTCGTAAATTTAGCTGGAGAGATGTGTGGTAATACTATGATCCTAAAAGTCACAACCTGTTTTTCGTTACTAATAATACATTTTTATTTTTTTTGAATTTACTGATAGTAAATTTCTATTTGTACAGGACAACAAGCATTAAATGTTTGTCCACCTGCTTACACCAAAGTGGTGGACGGTGGCGATAGATGGCATACAGTACATGCTCTTCTCGTTTATCCACCTGATGCATTTAATGCGCATGCGCCCACTTGAATGAGTTGTCTGAATGCATGCAAGGACAACGGAGTGATTCATCTAGGCTGAATATATGTCTCTTGTGAATTTAATTGGAGAGATGTATGATAATACTATAATCTAAAAATCACGATCTATTTTTACTTACTAATAATATATTTTTATTTTTTTAAAACTTAATTATAGTAAATTTCTATTTATATAAAACAATAAACATTAAATATTTGTCAAACTGCTTACACCAAAATGATGAACGGTGACGATAGATGGCCTGCACTACATGTTCTACTCGTTTATCCACTGCTGTCTTCAATGCGCATGCGCCCACTTGCATGAGTTGAACATGAATCGTAGGTACTACAATCGTCGTCATGGCCGGCCTCCCTTTCGTCGTCCTCGTCGTTGGTCTCCGTGCCCTCCTCAGGTGGCAGCGCGAAGCGGCAGAGCGGACAGAGGCGGCTGGCACGGAGCCACTTGGGCCGCGTTTAGTTGCGCCCGGAATCGGCGCCGCCGGAATTGCGTAGACACCGTGGCGCACTATAGTTGTAGTATTTCGTTTGCACTTGTAATAATGATTCAATCGTCGATTAATTAGACTCAAAACGTTCGTCTCACCAAGTACAATTAAACTGTGTAATTAGTTTTTGATTTCGTCAACATTTGGTACTTCATGTATTTACCATAAATTTAATGTGACGAAAAATCTTTTTTTTATATATATAGTGTCAAATTTTGGATTTCGATGGAACTAAACATGGTGTCGAAGATACAGCGCTCGTGGAAGCCGTGCGCGCACGGCATCGTCCTCAGCGCTTCGCCGGCCTCGTACTCGTCGAGGCACACCGCGCACTCCCCGCTCTCCCTCGCCTCGCCCTCGCCCACCGTCGTCTCCGGCAGACAAGCTATGGCCACGCTGGATGTCTAGACGGCGCCGAGGACGAAACTGCCGGAGCCACGGGTAGGAGATGCACCACTCGGCGAGCTTGCCCCTCCTGGCGTGGAGCCCCACCCAGAAGCCTCCCCGAGGGCTCATCCTGATATTGTCCGGGAACCACGGCAGCCGCGCCACCTCTTCGATCGCCGGCGCCTTCGCCACCGGCCGGAGCCAGTACCGGAGGATCCTCCCCGTCGTGGTCTCCGCCAGCGGCAGGTGTGTCCCGTCCCTGCTCATCGCGAGGCCGTTGGGGAACGCCAGCCCGTCGGCCAGCACCTCCACCTCGCCGTCGCCGCTCTTCGGGTCGTACCACAGCAGCCGCCCCGTGGTGTCGCCGGAGATGACGATGGTCAGGAACTCCCTCTGCAACCTCGTGCTCGTCTCGGTGAAGTAGACGGCGCCCGTGTCCGCGTCCACCTCGACGCCGTTGGCGAAGCTGAAGGCGCGGCCGGTGCCCTGCCACCACTGCGGCGCCACCGGCCTCGACACCTTGTCGTCGTCGTCCGGCGAGACGACGCGGAGGCCGTGGTAGGCGTCGGCCACGTAGAGCTCCCCGGTGTCGTGGTTGAACTTGAGGCCCAGTGGGCGCCCGCACTCGTGCCCACGGCCCGGGTCCTGGGAGCCCGTGCAGCTGTCCAGCCTGCATGCACGCACATATATTTTGAGAACAAAGTGTGTTCCGTATTTTCCGAGCAGCAGAAAAGAAAAAGAAAAGAATATTGCACCAGATGAGCAAAAAGTGTGTTTTCTGTGAATAGTTTGAGCGATGGAAAAGTACAATGGAACTGCACCATAAAAAGGCAATTTTATGACATGTCGCGGCCGCTTTGACTCTTTCTTTCTTAACAGAGGTACGGTACACCATGAGCTCTACAGTTTTTTCGGCATGGAATAAACTTTGGGTAGATGGCACGATCATCAGTTGAGTACTGGTACCATCGGTGCCTGCCGCGGATGCGACGACGACGACCGACCGTGAGTCCGTGGCCGAGCGCGTGCGTGAGGACAGACGACTGAGGCGGGCGATGGGGATTGCGGTGCCTGGCCGGATGCGGGTGGTGGAGCCGTCGCGGCCACTGCTCGCGCGCTGTTCTGTTCGGTGCAACGAGCCAACAATAGTCTTGCACCGTCTGTGCTGCTGCACTGCACTGCACCACACCCACACATGACGAATTGACGTTTTTCTATAAAGCACATCACCCGCGCACGAAGCACGGGCAGCAGTGGCTAGTGAGGTATTGAGGTGAGGTAGCGCATGTAACTGCACGCGCGGAGTGGCGCACCATCAGGCGCCCACACGACATGCAGTAAGTAGCGTGGCGGAGCTGAATGGTTGGGAGTTGGTACTGCCGTGCGAGCGGCCGAGCACACAGACAGCCTTGACACAGGATCTGGGAGTCACGAGTCCAATGGAAACTACAGCTCGATCCCAACGCAAAAGCGACAGTTTCTTCAAGCTTTGAAGCAAGAGCTGACATTGGCTCTGATCGCTTCTCTTTTAATCCATATTTTTCAGCTTTTTTCAAGGGAACAATGTTTTTATCCGTCACACCAAATCAGTCAAAATAGTATTTCGGCTGATTTGTTGTGAGAGAAAAATATTGTTTTAATTAAAAAAATAAACTAAAAATACGGATTATAAGAAAGCGCACCTGCCCATCGGTAGTCGGGGGGCTAGCTGTAAAGAAATGAATTCAGAGATGCAGTAGCAAGGCAACGAGAGAACGTGCAGGGCATGCATGAGCCGGGTTGCATTGCATGAGAGCTGAGAGAGGATGGGGTGATAGAGTCCACTGTGCCGCTGCAGGTTGCCAGCGTGCGCCCTGTTGGGTGGTGCTTTCAGACTCTCACAGTTTTACAGGAAAGTAGTCCATATACATTAGAACATTGTCTACCAGTTAGCTGAAACACTTTTCTATCTAATTTGTTGGGAAAGAAAAATACGATTCTAACTAAAAAACAAACCAAAAAATATGAATTATAAGATAAATGAACAAGGCCTGAAACATTATAAAGATGGTCTATAGAGATGTAGTCCATAACTAAAGATATCCATACTACTATGAACCGTCCATAAAAAATAAACAAATAATTCTTCTCTATGCTCATAATCTCTTCCTTGTCTCTCTCTCATGGTTTATCCAGGTCATATACATTTGTGATAACTATAGGCCGCGTTTAGTTTCAAACCCAAAATTCAAAAAATACTACGGTAGCTCATTATATCAAATCTTGTGATATGTGTATGGAGCATTAAATGTAGACGAAAAAAAACTAATTACACAGTTTGATTGGAAATCGCGAGACAAACGTTTTGAGCCTAATTGGTCCATAATTAAACACTAATTACCAAATAAAAACAAAATTACTACAGTAGCCCAAATTCCAAAATTCGGCCAAGGGGGTGTTTAGTTTCCACCAATTCCAAACTTTGGCACTATGAAAAAGAAGATTCCCCGTCCCATCAAACTTACGGTACATGCATGGAGTCCTAAATATTGAACGAAATCAAAAACTAATTGTACAGATTGGTTGTATTTTGTGAGACGAACGTTTTTTAACCTAATTAGTCAACTATTGGACAATTATTACTAAATAAAAACAAAACGCACTGTAGCTGCAGTGTTTTTGTCGCCGCCGAATCAGTGCAACTAAGGCCATGTTTAGTTCCCTCCCAAAATACTAAATTTTTCAAGATTTCCGTCACATCGAATCTTTGGACACATACATGAAGCATTAAATATAAATAAAAAATAAAACTAATTACATAGTTTAGACGAAATACACGAGATGAATCTTTTAAGTCTAATTAAACTATAATTAGACACTAATTATTAAATAACAACAAAAACACTACAATAACGCTCGCCAAAAAATTTGGCATCCAAACATGCCCTAAACGAGGCCCAACTAAACACGGGCTAACAAACGCAAAAGCTGTCCAGCCAGCACCGTACCAGCAGCAATGGCCTTCAACTGCAGGCATGAGGCCTCGGTTCTGAAAGGCTGCAGCAGCCAGCAGGCCTGCCTCTGCCTGACCTGATCGGCTGATCCTGCGGCAGGCCCCCCCTAGTACTCCGCGTACTGTGCCCGTCTGCTGCGGCGCTGCACGTCGCCTGGCCCAGAGATCACTCTCCAGCGGCTCAGGGGAAGAAGATGAGACGGTGGATGGATGGGATCGATGGAGACGGCGTACTCCTCCACGTACTGCTGGGCACGTCGTGTCGTCGACTGGACCGGCCCTGGTCCCTGGAAAAACGCGTGCCACTGCCACGCACGGTACCTGCTGCGAGCCTGCGATTGGGGTACAGTACAGTACTGGCCCCATACCGAATCGTTTGGACCAGACTGCGATCCGTGGTCCGTGGCCGTAGGGGCGGCCGGGAGGCAGGCACGCGGACCGTGCAGTGGACGGGCACCACACGTCCACACCTCACGGCCGGGACGCCGGTTGGGGCATGAGCATGCAAGTCTTGGCAGCGGCTCGGCCGCGCGGCGCGACAGCGATTGACGCTGACGGGCCTGGCCTGCGCCTGCACAGGCGTACCTCCCCTAGTCCTGTGTGGCTGTGCCTCCTGTCCTACTCCTACCGACGCTGGTTGTGGTTCCAGGCGCTGGACGTCCGATCTCCGCGCCACTCGAACTCGAACGTGCCCGGATCGGATCCGATCAGCGTGAAGTTACAGAGCCTTTTCGTTTCGTTTCTTCTGTAAGACAAGCTACTTACGTACTGTACTGTAGTTTTCCCGTATGAACGAAGCCTCCGTTCGCGTGCCCTTCGACCCGATTTTGATCGTTTTTTTTTCATCCGAACCGTGTTTTTCTAACAAATTTCTATAGATTCATCTAGATTTCTTAAGCGAACGGAGCCAAATTCCTCGATATTCATGGAGATTCCTTCGAGCGGGGCCGAAGAAGAGAAGGTTAGGCAGTGAGTGACATGGTCTTTAAAAAAATTTAGGTGCCCTGCCCACCTCGAATCGACTACTCGCACAGCGGCACAGGGGGTCGCGGCTGCCATGGGATGCTGCTGGTGAGGACAGAGAAATTCAGGAACGTAACAGAGCACTTTCGTTCGCAGCAGGGGTCGTGTCGTGTGTGAACAGGAACAAGCAACAGGGAACCGACCAGACATTGAGAGCAATGACAGTACTAAGCATTTCCATTCATCCATTGATCGCTACGACTAATCTCTGCATTCCATTTGCGAAGCAGGAGCGGACGAGACGAGACCATTACCAGACACCAGCCCGCCCACACCACACCACAACAATCCATTGCAAAGCAGAGGAGGACTGAAAGCGACGGAGCGAGCCGCGCCAAAACGAACCACCCCCTGGTTTTCCCATCCCACTGTACAGTACAAGCGTCCAAAAAAGGCTAAAGCCAGCCACAGCCACAGCCAGCGAGCCAAGCCACCCCTGCTTCGCGCTGCTGGTACAGAGCTGCGCTGCGCTACGACGACTACTGTCACTAGGCCATGCTAGCCATCTACTCCTCCCGTCCTACTGCTGTGCTACAGCACCCCCTCCAGCAGGGCCCCGCAGGTGAGCAGCCGGGTCAGCCACTCCTCGTCGGCGGGCTCGCCGGCGCCGCCCATCCCCATCTCCATCCCCACGTCGACGGCCGGTGCAGGGAGGACCGGCTGCGGTTCCGGCTCCGGCCACGGCCACGGCCACGGCACGGGCGGCGGGGGCGGCGCGCCGGCGCGGGTGTCGACGGAGGCCATCACGGTGGACGCCGCGGCGGAGAAGGACGGCCCGCAGCTCTCCTCGTTGCCGTTGATGGTCACGAACCCCGGCGGCGGCGAAGGCGGGGCGTTGTCCGTGATCTCCGCCTCCAGCCACCGCATCACCTCCGCCACGGCCTCCTCCGCGATGCCCTCGTACCGCCCGTCCTCGTCGTCCTCGTCCTCGTCCTCGCCCAGCAGCTCCTTGCCGTACACGGCCCCAGTGGCTCCCTCGCCCTCCGCCGCCTCCTCGACGACCCTCTTCCGCTTCCGCGCCGCGCCACCGGCCTCCGCCGCCTCCTGGACCTCCCCCTCCTCCTCGCCCTCCATGATGCCCCCGCGCTGCAAGTGCAACCGCCGGCCCGCACTGCACGGCAGCGGAACTGGACACCGGAATGACCGGACTCAGAGTGGGAGAGAGGCAAGCGGGTGGTTGGCAGGGGGATCGCGGCCGGGTCGGCGCTGCTTGTCACGATAGGCCACACGGCTACCGCCTGGGGGTTTATATAGGCCCCGGCCGCGACGTGGCTGCGCGGCGCGCCCCGTGCCGTCGGATCCGCTTGTACGCGAGACGTGCCGAGGGGGGATGGGAGAAACGGACGCTCCCGCTCTCGCACGGCCGGGGGCCACATCCATCCGCATGTCCGTCCGCTAGCGCTTTGGCTTTCGGAACTCGCGCCGCGCTTTTCTTTGCTCTTGTTTCTTCTTTGGGGGCCCGCTCGCCAGGGAGAGAGGGGTAGATATAGGAGAGGAGGTGTCAGTGTCACGAGACGACAAGCGCGAGTGTTGTGGCGCCGCTGACGACCGGGACCGGACCGGACCGGCGCCGGCGCCACATCGAAGTGACGACGACGAGGACTGCTGTAGTAGTCGTGTCGTGTGTGGCCTGTGGACTGCGGTGCGGGTGGGTGCGTGCCAGTTGGGCCGGCGCGGCGGCGCGGCGCTTGCCGAAAATAGGAGGCGTGCCAGGCCGGGGGCCGGGGGCCGGGGCAGGTGGGCAAAAGTAATGGCGGGTTGGCGCGTCGCAGCAAGAAACGCCCCGCCCCCATCACCGTCCACCAAACCTTCGTTTCGAATACTGAGCGGCCGAGGGGTACATGCACAGGAGGCACAGGCACAGAAAATTGATGCCACAGCTTGCACAACAGATCCATTTCCAGGCAAGTATTGCCTGCAGTAGCAGTGCGGTGCCCCTGCTTTTGACCGCCCCCGGACGGAGACGGACGGCCTGAGAAGGGAACGTCGACGTCGTCCAGGTCAGAGAAGGTCCGTCCGTCCATCCATCCATCCAACCACCGCGCCCACTCCACTCCACTCCCGGCCGGCGAGGTCGGTCGGTCACGCTCGATCAGATCGACGACGCGACCTCGCGGATCGTCCGGGAAACCGACGCGCAAGTTCGGTTCAAGTTCACACAACTGGGGCGCACACACATGGGCCATGGCACGCGCTTCGTTTCTTCTTTTTTCCTTTCCTTTCCTTTTCTTTCCGCGGCGAAATTCCTCTCTTCTTTTCCCGCTTTGTGTGAAACACTCAAGCTCGCAGCATAATCGATCCGCTTTACGCTTGCGTTCACATCTACTACTAGCCGTTACAGTATGTGCTCTGTCTCACTCTACGTGCCGCCGTGGCGCCCCGCGCACAAGTGACTGAATCGGGCCCGTGTCGGTGTGACGCGGCAGGTCGTCGTCTTCTACTCCAAGTCTCCAGCCTACGGTCATCTCGTCTGACGTGCCGATGCCATGGCGTACGCGGATTGTGCGGCCGCTTGCGCGTCCGGGCCCCGGAGGATATGGGCATCTTCCAAGACGGAAACGGGCGGCGGCACAACCCAACGAGAAAACCGACGAGGGGCCTGATCGGTAACGACGACAGACGCGGCTACCAGATTGTATCGCCATTTTGCTATCGACCTGCTAGCACACGACGTCTGATCCGAGGCGCTAGCGTTCGAACGGAGCCTGCATAGTAAACGAGCGAGCGTCCTAGCAGGCTTGCGACGGAGCCCGCATAGTGAGCGAGCGAGTGTCCTAACAGGCTTGCGAACAAGCGCCCCAGCTGTGGGTCTGCAGCGTCTCGACCGTCGATCGCGCCGCCCTAAACGTCGCCAGCTATTTTCCATACACATCTTATGTGCAACACCCGATCTATTTTTGAAACATCCAATTAGAACATAAAAACATGAAACGTGAAACACTTGAAACAATCGTATGAAACCCTTGCTAAAACGTCTGAAAACACTTGAAAATCGTTGCAAACATATGCAAACACTTGCAACATACGTATGAAACATCTGAAAAGACATGAAACATATGCTTGCAATATGCATGCATATGCAACATCTTGATAAAACATTTGCAACATACATCTAGAACAGATGAAACATTTGGAACATACACTTGAAATATACGTGTATAGCAATTGCAAAAGTGCAACATCCTTATCTACTTTTGCAACATCGATATACAAAACAACATACATATGAAATATCTGAAATACTTGAAACGTGCTCTTGCAACATGCGCTTTCCGCAAATCCAGGCAAGCGAGCGAGGCGTAGCAATGCACAACGAGATCCGGCGCTAGGCGTCGTGAAGGAGGATGGCAGTGGGCAGGCGGCGCCCCCGGCATGCGGTACCCGCAGTGGAGGCCATAACGTCGATCGGGCAGGTGTGGCCTCTCGCGGCGAGGCGCCCCCACGCCGGAGAAGGTCGCAGCGGGCGGGTGTCGTGCCCGCGGCGTGGGGCCCCCGCGCTCGAGAAGGCTACGGCGAGCGGCAATCGTGTTGGAGAAGTGAGCGGCGGGGAACGCCACGATGGCTGTGCGAGTTGGGAAATGTTGTTGTCTTTTTTTTTGAAAAGCATGATGGAAAGTAGAGAGAAACATGCCTATTGAGCTGATAGCGTGCAGGGCCAACGCGGTGTCCGAACGGTCGGGCCGGCACCACAACATTTCCGTTTTGCAATCGGCAACCGCAGTGAAGTCAATCTAGAGGTTCTTTATCATCACTGAGGATGATTGCGAGTACGGGCCGCGGAGAACGTACGCCCCCCTACAGTTCCAGGGCCAACTTGTTTGTTCCATTGGATTGGAGCCTCCTCGATGCGCTGTAAAAGATGGAGTTGGACCTCGTGTGTCGCCCAGAGAAGCCCATTTAAAAATTTACGCGATTGCCCGCCATGCCAAGACGAGTCGAGCGGAGGGTAACCAGGAAGAAATCAGTTCACGACAGCCTGTTCGTTTGGCTGGTTCATTTTGTCGCTGGTTTGTGAGGAAGTACTGCTGTCTGATTTGTGTGAGTGAAAAATACTATTTCGGCTGGAAATTTACGATCGTTTACGACAAGCCACGTCTAAACGAACAGGATTAGTGTATCGCCATTTTGTTTCATTCATTCATTCGACGGGGTAATCGCGTGATGGGCACCTGCTTCAGCAGCAGACGACGCGCCACGTCGACGCCGACGCCGACGCCGTCATGGTGGTCGGACCTCCCTCCGGACCTGGCCGGCGCCGTGCTCGATGGCTGCCGTCCCACTGCGACCGCGTCCGCTTCGCTGCCGTCTGCCCCCACTGGAGCATCGCCGCACAGAAGCAGCGCCCGCTGCTCCCGCCGCCGCTGCCGTGGATCAGCTTCAACAACGACTACTTCCAAAGCCTCTGCGACGGGGAGCAGCACGCATTCGGGCGGTGGCTCCCCGGCGGCTACGAGCTCCGCTGCTACAGCACCTTCGGCCGCTGGATTCTGCTAGAGGTGAACGACCCCGCGAGCTCCTGCGTCCTACGCAACCCCTTGTCCGGGAAGTCGATTAAGCTACCGCCTCTGCCATTTGAGTCGACCCGTACGCCTAATACAGCTCCGCATTCCGCAAAGTCATCTCGGTGGGCGGCGGGTGTTATAAACTGTGGATCATCTAGCAGTCGGTCTAGAGGGTAGACATCAAGAGCGGTAGACTACAGCAACGATGTAGACCTAGAAAGCTATCTAGAGGAAGGAGAAGGTGTCGAACCCGAGCCTCCGGATGATGTCGCGGTTGTGCTAGCCATCAGCGGGTTCGGTGATGGAGGCAAAGACACGGGCAAAATGACGGTGGAGTAGAGGTTGCACGGACGTCGATGCGGTCGCGGTCGGGCGTAGCGATGGCGCGACGAGGGATCGGCCGAGCTTCCGTCATTGGTCAGCGCCCTCTCGAGATCGGTTTAGGGTTTGTCGGTGGGGTTTGCGGCTCACGGCGAACCTCGTACCTTGAGCCGCGGCCCCACCTCTTTATATAGCGCGGCGACGAGGCCCCACCAACCATGTAGGGTTGGGCGCCCCGATCGGTATAAGACCAAGGCCCAATAGGCCGTTGGGCTTATTAGTCGAGAGATCAATCTAACATTCTCCCCTTGATCTCACTATTACTTTTATCTTTAAACTTTAAACTTCAATCCTTTTATCCTTACTCATTTCTTCACAGATGATGCATAGAGCATGTCTCATCGTCACGGTCAATCGCCGATAGATTTAACAGACTCGATGCACGTCTCTCGATCTGAAATAGTTACTTTAACTTTTGGGCCCTTTATAGTCCGTGAGTCATAGGCTTTCCCTTAAACCCATGCCGGCTACATGTTCTCTCGAACACGTTACGCGGTATAAGCCTTTTAAAGCGGATCCGCGAGCATCTTTTCGGTACTTATATGCTCAAGACTTATCATTTGATCCCGGACTTTATCCTTCACAACATAATACTTTATGTCAATGTGTTTGGCGGCACCACTTGACCTATTGTTGTGAGCATACCTTTCTTCTTTGGATTATTATCGCAAAGATAAACCTCGATGGTCTATTGATGTCGTCAACCACCTTCAAACCGGGTATGAACTTCTTTAGCCAGTTCACCGCCTGTTGCCTCATAACATGCTACAAACTCGGCATACATTGTGGACGATGTAGTGACGGTTTGCTTTGAGCTTTTCCATGAAATAGCTCCCCTGCGAGAGTAAACACATATCCGTGACGTGGATTTTCTATTATCTCCCGCATAGTCGAATCTGAATATCCCACTATATGGAGTGAATCGATCTTCTATACGTCATCATGAGGCCTTTCGCTCCTTGCAAATAACGCAAGACTTTCTTTACCAATTTCCGAGTGTTCTATTCCGTGATTGCTCGAAATCGCCAAGTAACCCGGTAACAAATGCCAAGTCGTATGCTGCATACACTTGAGCATATTGCAAGCTTCCGACAATTTGAAGCATATGGAACCACTTTCATTTGATCGATCTCATATTGGTTCTGGGGCATTGAAAATCCCCCATATATCTGCCGCCTTTGACTATAGGAG